GCCTCCGGCCGCCCGGCCGCCGAGGCGATGGCCGCGGAGGAGGCGTCGCCGAGCGTGGACCAGTACAAGACGGAGATCGAGAGGCTGACCAAGGAGCTGACCGAGACCACCCACGAGAAGATCCAGGCGGCCGAGTACGGGCTGGTGGTGCTGGAGGAGAAGCTGACCCTCAAGCAGCAGTATGACGAGCTGGAGGCCGAGTACGACAGCCTCAAGCAGGAGCTGGAGCAGCTCAAAGAGGTGAGTGGCCCCTCGGCAGCCTGGGCCCCGCGCCCGCGCCCCGACTGGGAAGATGCTGTGCGGAGTGCGGCTGGTCATCTGGGCGCCCCTTGTCGATAAGAGGGGCTGAAGGAGCCCATTGTCCACCCTGCAATAGGAAAAGTGCCCAGGAAATGCTTACTGGGGCTGGAATTCGGGAGGCCAGGGCTGGCGAGGCCTTGGGGGAGGGGGTGCCTGGGTTGGAGCGTCTGCGGGCCGATGTTCTGCGGGTTGGGAATGGGTAAATCAAACTTCTCCAAACTGCTGTTACCTCAGTCAGGCTTCAGTGACGACCCCATGAGCCACAGAGGCCAGGCGCAGGTTGGGACCCGCACCCTAATGTCGGGTGGACTCTTGGTCCTCAGCCTTGGTTGTGGGTTGCCCCCTCCACCCCCACCCGGCTGGTGGGAGTACTCCCCAGCCCTGGGACAAAGGCTGGGCAGCCTGCATTCTCCTCGCCTGCAGGGCTCCATGCCCTGGCTGTGGAGGAAACGGCCCAGCTGGGGCATCCTGCTGTTGACCTCAGGCCGGGTGCCCCAGGCTCCTAAGGTCACCCTGACCAAGGCCACCCAGCTCTTCTGCTAACTGGGAAGGGATGGGGGTTCCTGATATCTGGGTGGCTGTGCTTGGCAAATGAGAATGTCCTGTATTTCAGATGAGCAGGTACCCCAGGTGGGTCATGTGTGCACTTGTCCTCTTTATTCTTTTCACATCTGGCTTCTTTGAAAGACTTGCTAGTGGAGTGGAAGCAAACATGTTCTGCTTCCTGGCAGCCGCAGGGGAGACTGGGCATGTGGCTGGGGGAGAGGGTCTGTTTCTCCAGCTTCCCGAGGCACTGTGGGTAGCGCACACCCTGCTTTCCCTGTGATGGGCCTTTATTTTTAGGTGTCTTCTGACATCTTACATATTCTAATTTGATAGCTGAGATCAAAAGGCTTTTCTCCTAAGGAAAAGGAGAACTTTTATTTGTGGGGAGGCATCTTATTTTGTGTTGTTACCAGTTAAAAAAAAAAACATGGTTCTGGACAGCTAGCCACCTCGCCTTCTAATTTAACACACGATGGTAAGCAATTCCACTCTCAGGTCTGTCTGATTTTTACTTGGATGCCTAATGGAAATGCATATGTTTGCATATATAATTTTCTCCTCTGGGATTATCTGTGTAATTTTCTCCTCTGGGGTTTTGTGTACCAGGTTGCCAGTTTCTGGTTCCTGTGTTTCTTACCACATACATGTCTTTTTCTTAGCACCAGTGGAGCTCATTGGTATTTTCCAGCTTGGATTAGATCTGAGGCTGCTGTGTCTAAATTCAGTGGAAGGAGGATGGGGCTCTAGTTGTCAGGACGATTTGATGTCTACACCCGACAACACTACTTTTCCCAGACAAGGAAGTGTATGTGGGGAGACTAACCATCACCTCCTTGATAAAAGGGTGGGGGCTGCATTTCATGAGATGGAGTATTCTAACTGCTGACACATCTACTTGATGGAACAGCCCCACCAGGGGTTTTCCTGTGTCATCCTGCTTTCCCTGCACAGCGAACCTTCCGGCAGTTGTCCCTTGCCTTTGCTAGACATGAGCGAGTCTTAAGACACTTGGCATCCAAAGTCTTTAACACAAAGCCTAATGCATAAGAGCATGCAACAACAAATAATTTATGAAACAAAGCATCTATAGTGGAAGCAGCTACACCTTTACCAGGCCAACATCAGTTAGTGTCAGAGACTGAGAAAACTGGGCACACAGAAAAGCACTAGTATCCTCCCAACTAACCTGTATTACTGTCTTCAGCAGTTATGGGGAAAATGAGAAAAAATGTTTTCTAGGAAAATATAACAGTGGTTCCTCATAAAAAACAATGGAAATACCTATTCCCCCCCCCCATCTCTGAAAAACCTTGAAACCTATTTTATTTTATATGGTAGGAGGTTAATAAAAATTTATTACTGTTATTTTTTTTGCCAGATGTTACTTGTTCACATATGCATTTTTGAGTTGCATTTAGCATACATAGAATTCAGTTTAGGTTCTTGATGACATGTCACATATAAATGTACTTTAGGGTAATAAAATAAACATTACACTCAATTATTTGATGATTCATGTACCGTAACAGGTGAAACCTATCCGTTTTATCTTTTCAACATGATGTGTACGGTGGTCAGGAATACTATTTAAATGAGCTAATTAAATCTTCGTAGTATTTCTTGCTTGAGAAGAAAATTCAAAATAATGGTATAAACTTAAGCTATACCAGTGATGACCTCATATAGAAGTCATTTTTGAAAAACATGTTTTTGTAAGCACTGTGGTTTTCAAAAGGAAATTTAGTTCATTTTCAGATGCATCTAATTGATGTTATTACATTATAGCTATAGTCAAGTAGAAGAGACAACTTTGACTTATGTCTTGGCTCTTTCAACAAATAAGATTCATTTTAAAAGCCTAATTCTGGGAATGTCCACAGAAAACACCATGCTCCATCCAGGCTGGACACGAGTGATCTAGTCCTTACAGATGGCCCTCCCGACCCCATGCTGCTGCCCCCCTTCCCAGGTCCGGTCCTGCTGTGGGGATGATGATGCCGGTGCGAGGTGGTGCCTGGTGGGTGACATCATGATGATGAGGTCATGAATTTTTTTTCTAGTTTCATTTTCCGTGGGTCCATTTGCTTTTGGACCTGGCCTGCTGGTCCTCAGGGCTGTGCTCTGGACCCAGGGCCCTGTGCTCTTTACCCACAAGAACACTTCCCCCAGGGCACTAAGGGTCCCATGGAGGAGACCCCTCACATCCCACCTTGCTGGCTCGCCACTGTACCTGGTGCCTGGGCAGCCACATGCCCACACCAGCCCTTGGCCGGGGCCTCATGATCCATGAATAATGCTGGCTTTTCAGTGCCCCCAGAGGTACCACGCCTGATTGTACATTTGGGATGCAGGTAAATCAACCACACTGTCTGGCATGCAGGCCCTGACGGGTTCTCAGAACAACTTGAGATAAAAATATATACAGACATTTAAAAAAAACCTTGAATGTAAGTTTTTTTTTTTATTTTAATTTTTAAACCTAAAACAGTGGTAGGAATCTAAAATGTATTCTCATTTAGAAGAGTCCCTAGAAGAGCATGATTCAGCATTCCTGGTAGTGTTTTAGAAGCCTTTTGCAGTAGGTTACCGGGGACCCTTTCGTGAGCACCTCAGCTCCTGGTCTCCCCGAGATCCCGAGGATGCCCACGGCAGGTGGGCAACATGTGGTAGGTGCCCGGCAGCCTTTACATGCCTCCAGCACCATACTTGAACCCTCCAGGAAATATACATTGAACTTACTTCTTTGGGGGATTGTCACATAGGGCCCTGATGAAAACCTCTTTATCTGGATTCAACTTTCAGCAGAACTGCTTGTTTTCCTAGTGCGCTTGAACAGATTCTCAGCATCTTCTCTCCTTAAACTCTAAGTTATAGAAAGACCCCTTTCCCGAAACAGCTTTCCAATCCATGAGTGAGCCTAAATTTAACATTTTCTTTTCCATCTAGCTTTGTGGCCCCAGGTCTTAGGGACAGTTGAGGTGCTGTGTGGCTGCAGTTGGTCTTATGCCTTATGGCCTCTACTCTTCCAAGTATCTCTGACTTACTGACCAGTTTTAGAAAAGAGAGCAATAAAAGTACTAATGCTTTTAACATGCAAAAGCTTCCATTTAGGGTTAGTTCTTATTTCTCTTTCTCCTAACAACAGTGCTTTTACAAGGTGAATTGTATGGGAGAGGAAGGTTAAGGGTTCTTCTGCAAAACCATAAACTAAGTTGGTTAAGGAGGAAACTTCCTTCTCATATGTATCTGAGAGAGTGCAACCTTGCAGCGGTCAGGGCAGGCGTGATGGGGACAGTGGGAGGAGCCGCCCCAGAGTGGGCAGGGCCGCAGGACCCTGGTGTTGGGTGTGACTGGAGAGGACAGGAGGAAAGGAGAGCAGAATCCAGACTTCTCAGGATGGAGACAAGCCTGTCTTGAAGGAAGGTACTGTGGGGTGGGGCAGTTTATCGGGTCAAGTTGAAGCCCAAGTTGTAGGAGACCTCTTAATTTGTATTTTCTTTGAGAAGAGCCATATGCTGTGTGATAAATTCAGATTCTCTATGTGATAAAACATCAGTAGTATGTGTAGCCAGTTATCATGTTATCCAAACCTAATTTCCAGAATATGGGCCATATGAACACTCTCCATTTTCACCTAATGTCATCTTCAGGAGCAGAAAGGGGGACTTAGTTTGGAGAGCCGTGGGGGTCCCTGAGCCTAAACGCCTCTCTTGCCCTAGGTGGGCTGGGAGCATGGAGAGTCTGATTTGCTCTTTAAAAATTACAGTGTGTAACCTGATTCAAAAAGACACCTACACCCCCATGTTTATTGCTGCTTTATTTACAATATGAAATACATGGAATCAACCCAAATGTCCAAAAGTACATGACTTGATTAAAAAGACCTGGTACAGGCCCTCCCTGGTGGCGCAGCAGGTTAAAGCACAGCACTGAGAAGCTAAAGCCACTTCTGCATGAGTTCGATTCCCGCCTGCCCCGGAGGTGACCACATGGCGAGGCAGACCTCTCCTGACCCGCCCGCTGCTCCCCTCAGCAGTGTACTTCGTCGATCTGCCTGTTCTGCTCCTCTCTCTGTCTCTGGTGAATCTGCTCACCCTCCACATCTCTGGCCGGTACCCCAGTTCCATATGAATAAATAAATAAATCTTAAAAAAAAAAAAGACCTGGTACATATACACAATGGAATATTACTCAGCAATCAAAAGATAAACTCATACCTGTTGCAGGAACATGGATGGAGCTGGAGGGGATCATGCTTAGTGCAATAAGCCAGAAAGAAAAGGAAAAATACCAGATGGTTTCACTCATAGCAGGAGAATAAAGGACCAGGGGGGGGGGAAATAATAATAATAATAGTGAACAACTATATACCAGAGACATTTTACAGGGTGGAG